AAATTATTCCGGTACGATCATTTTTTCGACCAATTTCCCTGCCACATACACCCATTCATACACGGACGTCCAAAAAAGATTATGTTTAATGTTATTATTTATTATGTTAAACAAAAAAATTCTTATTGAAATATATTTTATGTGCCTGAAAAATTATTTGACTTGACATAAGTGTACTCATTTTAACCTGCAGGTTAAGTGTGATATAAATAACAAAAAATCAATTTCAGTTTCGAGAAAACTACTTTTTTCGAAATGTCGAGAGTCCCGACTAGAATTTTAGTGAGGCATGCCAAAAAATCAGTTCGGGGCGAAGTTGGCTTTCCGAACTTAGGCTAGCCCAATTCGGATCTTATTTGTTTTAAATTAGGCAAGCCGAACATTGGTATGCCAAAAGAATTCCACATTCGATGTAATCTCGGACTCACTTCGAAAAATCTATGGCAATGCCTAAGTTCGGGATTTCATGGGTTGCCAAACTCTTATGAAATAACGGTAACCAAAGGTTTACCGAAACTTGGTACACCACGATCGAGCTTCTTTAGGCAAAACTGTGGAAATGCCTAAGTTCAGTATATCATGGATTGCCAAACTGTTGTGAAATAACGATAACCAAAGAGGCTTACCAAAATTTAATTCACCAAGCTCGGGCTAATTTAGGCAAACCTGTGGCAATGCCTAAGTTCGGTATGTCATGGATTGCCAAACTGGTATGAAATAACGGTAATCAAATGATTACCGAAGTTAGGTTCTTCAAGCTCGGGCTCATTTAGGCAAAACTGTGGCAGTGCCTAAGTTCAGTATGCCATGAATTGCCAAACTGGTACGAAATAACGGTAACCAAAAGCTTACCGAACAGTAACTAAAGGCATATTCTGAAGCTTGGTCTATCAAAATCGAACTTGACTAGATAAGTCTGTGGCAAATCCTCACTTAGGTATAATATCGGAATTCCTAACTCGACTGTTGCAACGGTAACCTAATGTTTGCCGAAGTGTCGGGCTTATAAGTATCTTGAGCCAAGAGGTCGCTCATCGCCGGCGTAGCGTAGCGGTATGGTAGTGGGCTCTCGTGCGTCGGGAACAGTGTTCGAGTCTCGCGTTCGACATGTAATATTTTTAATAATTATTAATTGTAATTACTCTTAAGACAAGTGTGACATAAATTTAAGTGACATAAGTGACATAAAAACCCTAAAAAATGGAAAAAATTACCGAAAATATAAAAAAAATAATACTAAATAAAAAAAAAAATTTTTTTTTATACTTAATATTTAAAAAATTTCGTCCTAAAGTCAATATTCATATTTAAAATTTTGAAAGTAAATTTAAAAAATAAGTATTAATTATTATTAATTTTTGCTTTATCATAAAAGTAGCTAAAAACGAAGAAAGGATTAAATTTGGATTCTTCCGTGCGCATTTGGTTTCTGAATTGCTGCCTAGCTAGGTAGCCTAATTCGGACCGAATGAGGCTTAGATAGTCACCAGCAAGTGTGGTTTCCAAACTACCGCCTAAGTCGGAAGCCAAGTTAGGCCCAAACTCGCGACTGCGTTACTTCCGGGACGTGGGCCAACTTTGGCTTCCTGATTCGGCGCGAGCTTGGAACTCGGCATACCTAATTCGGAACGAACCACCGCCGAACTTAAATTTCTAGTCGGGGAGTTCAAAATTCTAGGCACTTTATGTCAGTATTTATAATTTTATAAAAAAAAT